GAATATAATATAGATATGAATGTAGAAACACAAATACTATGAGACAATCACTCATTTCATTAATTCAATGACACAAAATATAAAACAATAATATTCGTCATCAAAGAATCAACCAAATTAAAATTGATACACAAAAATATGAATTATATCAATTCAATAATAAATTTGTTATTCTACGAACAAATATTATTAACAATGAATATTACATTGATGTTGATGTTAATCCTGAATTTATTCCTTATATTCCTACTTTGTCTAAATTTCTTTCATATCAAAAATGTCATGAGAATAGTGTATTTCAATTACCATCAATCATCACACATTTATCATATTTCAGAATTCCATTACCAGATATTTTACATTGGATGAATATTGATATTTCATCACCATCAGGTAAAACTAAATTCACACAAATTCTATTAAACAGTGAACCAAAAGAATTAGAAATTATTCTTAGAGGGAATTTGATTAGCAAACAATTTCCACAAATAAAAGTTGATGATTTTTTACATGAATTTAATCAACAAATCAAAATGAATGAGAGTTTCAAAATAATATTAAATGAATATTTCAATACATCACATGAGAATATCATTGATAACTTCATTAATAATACTAGAATTAATTTAGATGAGCTAATTGAAAATACAGAATTTTCAGAAAAGAGAGATGAAATAATATTTAGAATGATAGAAAATGTTGTTAATAAGAAAGGAAAAATATCACCTGAACAATACGAAGTAATTAAATCAACATCATTAAGAGAATATTCATTTGATGAAGAGTATCTTATTGATATAATTTGTGTTATTCAACATGATATCAATGGACAAATCATTACAAATGATAGAAAAAAGAAAGCATTTAATATAATAGATACAAACAATGAAATAATTATACAAAAATCAATCAATGTGGTACTTGATCACAAAATATATGAATATAATGATTATAGTGAATTTGAATTAAATGAAATAGTAAAAAATCTTATTGAAATGAATATTGAAGATTTTGAATTCATATTTAGGAATATTGGAGAACATTCATTATTAACAACAAAAGAATGTGGAATGGCATGTTTTAGAATAAATGGGAAAGAGTATGTCATTGTAAAGAATATTGACTATATCATTTTATTTGATGAACAAGGGAATAGAAATGAAATTGAAGGAGAATTTTCATTATTTGGAGGAGAACATGATGCATTATTTATTGAACAAAGAAATCTTATTTTATGTGATGAAATAGCAAATATCATTAAAAAGAAACAAGAAATAAATGAGAGAGTTTCTGTGTTTTATGGAGAAGAGTTATAACTAACAATCTGTAATCAATAATTAATTGTTCTTCTTATTTTATTTCTT